CACACACACACACACACACACACACACACACACACACACAGCTCTGATTGTCTGCTGCTATGAGTCATCACAGAAATTCTTCTAAATCCTAAATCTGATCAAATCTGATGACTCTAAAAATACGCCTGAGAAATCCTTTTCTAAAAATTGCTCATAGTGCCGTTTTAAAGAAATTAATCATCTAAAACCCTAAAAAGACAGAGGGACGAGCAGCTCAGCTCCCGTCAGACAGACTGTAACTCTTCTCTAACACACCCTGCCAGGTCTCCTTTGACTCATCCTGTCTTTGTATTGGCTTTTTTTTTTTTTTTTGACAGCCATGTAGAAAAAAAGTGAATTTTAAAATTGTCAGGGCGGTGACTGTAATTAAAACTTAATACACTGGAACTCCCTCTGGATTGGATCAGAACAGGTACAAAACTCCAGAGGAGAACATCACACTGAGCCTCAGCGGACATGGTAAGTCCAAACCTCATGACACACATTTGGATCCTGTCTTTGTTTCTCTCGCTCTTTTTTTGTCTTTCATGCAGTTTTAGATAAAAAAAAGGCTAAATTTAATTTGGATAAAACTGAACTTTTAACAAACCAGGGTGCTTTAAAATAAGCTGTTTATTGCTGCAGGGAAGGAGAGGGGAGGAAGATAAAAAACAAACCCGTCCTAATAAGATCAAACTTACTGACTTTATCTGATATTTTTGCATATTCTGAGTAAAACTTTTGACTAAATCAATTTCAAACAAAGACAGTCCAGAACTTAAAATAAAAAAAATAAAAAATAATAAAGTCAGAGTGAAGATCTTTGTATTGATTTAGTCTTTTTAAAACCTATTTAGAAAGTAAAAACCTGCAGAAATTAACTTGTACAGTTCCTCGTCTGTCATTTTGAGACAATAATTCCTGTTGCTAAGCTGTAATCAAGCAAAACAAATAAAACTGAGGTGCGGCCTCACCTTAATACCAGATTGCAGCTGAGCCACACCTTGTACCAGCCCGTCAAACAGAACACATCAATTTGTTAAAAAAAGAGGCTTTATCATGTGGTAAATAAAATCTGCTTTGTAACATTCTGTTAAAAACTGTGTTTACATAAATAATAATAATTAAGATTATTGGAAGACGCTGGGGATTTTAGCATTAGAGGAAAAATACAGGCCAAATATTTGTCTGAAATGTGGGAAAATTAAGATGCAGCTCTTACAAAAAGCTTCCTATAGAGAGAGTTCTCTTTTGTGTTCTATCTTTAAAAGTCAACAATTGTTATTTTATTTTAAACAAAAAATACAAATTGGCAAAAGATTAAAAAATCAGTGTCGTATATCGGCCATCTAAAAATTAGTCGTAGGAAAAACTATTGTGTTGTTTGACTTTTACCTGAACACCGAGGAGTTTTTATAAGTGGGGGGATGTTTTGTTTGTTTCCTTCAAGGTGAAGTTAAATTACATCTAGTTTTAAATGTTCTCCTTTATCAAGTCTTTAAGCCTCACAGTCGTCTCATCCTGACAACCATTGTTTCCATCGATCAGGATCAAATGGACACTTGTTTGACGGAAACAGTCAGTGACTGTTTTTTAGTCATTGTGTGAAGATTTCAAACTGCCATGTTGGATTAAAAAAAGTTCCTATTTAAAAAACGCCACAAATATGAAGAACAAATATTGTATGACTGACGTTCGCCTTGGAATAATCTTGTACTTTTCAGATTTTATATTCACCTCTGCCGTGTGACTCAGGAAGATAAACAGAGTCCATTTATTTCACATCCTTCACACAGGTTTGGAGAACTCAGATCCTTTATTTAAGAAGGGACACTCAGCCGTCTATGCATCTGTTTTCTGGACCTGCTTGGTCCTGTTCAGAGTTTTGGAGGGAGCAGGTTCAACACACACACACACACACACACACACACACACACACACACACACAC